GCGATGTAAGCATTCATGCGAATTAAAATATGCATGTGTTACACTGCAGCCAAGTAACCCGGTTATCTCTTTAAAAGCTGTTATTGAAATTTCCGTTCCGTGATAATCCCTCATTTCCCCGAATACGGTGTTGTCAGTGACGGTGGGTATAACTCTAATTACCTCGATTATGTATTAAGTTGGAATCCGAATTTGTGACCCATGTCTTGTCAACCCGACAGGCCGATGCTCCAGATCCAAAGAAAATACCCGCAGAAGATGTGGTTGGCGTAACCGTGGTCCTCATTCAGGCTCTTTACCGAGAAAAGGAGTTTATTCGCGTAGGATACTATGTGAATAATGAGTACAAAAAAGAAGAACTACGACTCGAACCTCCAGCGGAACCAATCTTGGAAGAGGTATGCGTAATCGTAATTATGTTGATAACTTCTGCAAGCACAAAGCCTACATTTCAGTGTTCAGTTGTTTAGCAGTATACAGTTTTGTTTTGTTTCTCTGAAGGTGAAATTTTGGATTCTCACAACTAGGTCGGCCCATTCAATTTTACAAGCTTACTGCGTAATGCATTTTGTGTTGGGATATGCGTTTCACTTTTTTCAAGTTAGATTATTCCTCACAGGTGTCTTTGTCGTATAAATTGAGCGTAGCGTTACATTTGTGCGACGTTTTGGGTTGTTGTCTCATGACTACCCACTTGGATTAAAGCGCAGGAAGATAGGAATGTTGCAAACGCAGTCGAACAGCAGATAGAGAATTCAAATGGACTAAGGTTGCAAAGAAGTTGAGAAGATGCACGATGGCCACTGTTTGCAACACTCAGCCATATCATTCGGTATCTCCAACGATTGTTTACACAGATCCCGATTTCCCCATTTGGGAAGCCTTATGCCAACTGCATGAAGGTTTTAATACCCTTGTGCCTGGTCTTAGTCCGACTGCCCTTGACTTTTTTCATTCACTATCTGCCTCGGCGAATGTTGAGCACCGTGCCCCGATAGCGGTGTCGATTTACTCCCAGATGGAAAACTGTCTGATCTAGAGTGTGCAGACGACATTGTACTACTAAACGAATATCCAAGTAAGTTACAAACTTTTCTGGATAGTTTGAGTGCCAATGTATCCATGTTCATTGTGCGTTTCGCACCTACAAAGTGTAAAATGTTACTACAAGATTGGGTTGGTCCAGCACCCAGTCTCACCCTTACTGAGGAAGTAGACAAATTTGGCTATCTGGGCAGCTGTATCTCACCTGGCGGACGCATCATAGATGAATTGTCCGCGCGTGTAAAAGAGGCTCGGTTGGCATTAGCAAAACTTGAGACATTTGTGGTGCCCTCGCGACATCCGGTTGTCAGTGAAGGGTCGAGTATGTGATACATCAGTTCGGCCAGTCTTGCTCTACAGTCCAGAGACTGCGTGAACAGAATAAACATAGATTGTCAGTGTTGGAACATTGCTGTCTACGTCGCATTGCACGAGTCTGTTGGGGTAACCGGATGAGCAATGCTGAGGTTAGGCGTAGAGTTTTAGGCCGTCGCGATCGTCCACTGGAGCAACTGATTGATCTCCGTAGGTTACGTTGGTTATGGCATTTTTTATGCCTGTCACCAAATAGGTTGTCACGCGAGCGATGTTTGCCGAGGCTGGTATCGGTTGGTAAAAGGTCAAGGGTGATCAAGCTCAGACCTGGCATGAGGGTTGTCGCAAACAGTGGCGCTCGTGCATCCACTCATTATTCCCCTAACACAGTGGTGTAATCACTGTTACCGACGTGCCTTGGACCTTGTGGTCCGAGGTTCAAGCCCTGCCATCGCCACCCGACTTTGGTGGTAGGCAGCTCTGCTGTCGTCCGGTTCAATACCACGCCTAACCTATCGGGGCCTTATGTGGTTCGCCACTCCAAGTCCGGGCGCTTAGGTTGCCGGTTTCCACCGCTGAACAGCAGGTCTTCGTGACTATGGGGTTCACCCCGTTTGCTGTTCATCCTACTTGGGTGTGTAATGAAACAAATTCTATATAAATTCTCCTTCTTCCGCTTGAATTTGCTTTCAACATTCCAATCTTCATTTCGCTTTTTTATCCAAATGGGGCGCCAAAAGACAGCAACCAAGACTAGCGCACAAAAGTGCATAGCTAATGGTCGTAAAAACGACTGTTTGGTAACATGGTCGATGAAAGGTCATATTGGACAAATTCTTCGATCTAGTTCACAATCGTCGTTACTGTGGACTATTTTCGTATCCCTACCGGGATTTGAATCGCGAGTCGTCGGTTTCGAGTCTCGAGATTAACGACCCTCAAGTTGAGCTAATGAACGCTATTGTGAGCTTGTGTATGGCTTGTGGATCTCACTCCTAAATGCGAAACGTTTCGTTGTCCTCAAAAGGCTGCCTCTCCAGCTCACTCTTTGCGCAACACATGACAACCGAAACTCAGTAGTGGCTGAGTTGTAAGAACAATGCAGGACAGCTAAACCATTTGTCTGTAATTCCTTCCACGCTGCACTCACTTTACCAATACTGTTTATGTCTGTTGTTGAACCTTGTGACTAGTCAAAGTTAGGATATTCTGCTCCAAGTAATTTCGTCTTTATGTTGCTGATTCGTCCTCAGTACACTATTTGCATGTGT